ATTTTATTAAATTTTTATTGACACCTTCCATTGCTATTTTAAATGCAGAGTTGAAAACGATAATAATCTAATGATAAGGAAATTAAAAAATTAAAACTTGTCTTTCAAATTCAAAATAATGAAAGACAAATCTAATCAATTTTAGTGGAGATATGTATTTAAAATGTATGATGAATATATATATATATATATATATTCTTAAAATTTGGCTAAATTTTAAAAAGAAAGATAAATTCTAAATTTGATATTTTTGAATTCAAAATTTGTGCAAACTTTTCAAATTTTCATAGATTTTTGTTTTGAATTTAAATAATTATTAATTGTAATTATCTTATAAATCAATTTTAGAGGGTAATATATCTATGAGATTTTTAAATTTAAAAAGATATATATTTAGATTATTAAAAAATCCTAAAAAATAATATATCTAAATTAAATTTTGTTACTAACAATTTAAAAATTATCCATGTAGATATATTTGGATAACAAAATAATACATAAGAAGTGGTCATTTATTTAAAATTTAAAAGTTTTAGATAATTAAATAAAATTTAAATATATATTTGATAAATAGCCTAAAATTAAAAAATATCTTATGTGTCATTATTAAAAAAATTTTGAAAATTTCTAATGTATCAAAAAAAAAAAACTATTCACCTAAGTTGTTCACATAAATAATTTTTACCATATAACTTTATATGTTGTAATATAATATATTAGATATATTAAATTAAGTGAATCTTATTCGGATCAATTTGTATTCATTCATTTAAAAATGTATAATTTAAAATATAATTTGATTCAATTTTTTTAAAAAAATTTGATTTGAATTTAATAAAATATTTATTATTTGAATTTAAATCAAATTAAATAAAAAAACCAATCCAACTTAATTCGAACAATATTATTTTTAATGGATTTTTAGTTTAGTGAATAAATAATATTTTGGATTCAGAGTTGGTGTATAGGATGGGATAATTTTGGTGCTCCCGGAGTTGCAATTTAGGCAGTTGTGGTTTGACTTTGTTGGATTCATAACATCGGCATTAGTAGGGAGTCGGGACTGCTTAAATGTTGAAACAAAGTTGGAAATTTTGAGCAGCCATCCTTAACTGAAAATTTCGACATTACTTGTGACTGCTCCTCTCACCTGTCTCACTTGAATATTGGCTTTTTTTTCCAACAATTAAAAACATATTTACAACAAGTTGTTTTATTTAGTTATGAATCAGACAATCCAATATGAATTCAGACAATAAATTATCAACTCGTCAAAATGAACAAACATTTTTTAATTAACAATTGTGTGATTTACCCTTGAAAAAAATAAACAACTGTGTGATTTATTGATAAATTATTAAAATTTTAATTTTAATTATTAAAATTCAAATTTTACTACTTTAAATATAGAAAAATAAAATTAATATTTCACTTATTTATTGAATTACCTAAATTTAGAAACTAGAAAGTAATATTTGAAAATGAAAGGATCCATTATAAACATTCAAGCATTATCAATGCTTAATTTAGGTTTTTTTTTTTTTTTAATTATTCACTTTTTAGTGCTACGTTTTTTACATATTAAAAATTTCTTATAGAAAAAAGTTAATAGCACAAAGAAAATCCAATGGATTAGAAATAAGCAAATTATTAAAAGATAATATGAAAATTGATATTAATTGTTTTTTATATATAAATAAATGTAAAATCAATTATTTATCATTTAAAAAATATAATTTTTTAATTTTTAAAACCTCAAATGTATTAGTTGCTTTAAAAAAAAAAAAACAAAGACAACAATAAAAGTTTGATGAAATTCCATGTTATATATAAAGAATTAAATTAATTTTAAGAGTGACTTTAGGAAATAATTATACATATTAATTATCTATTTTTGAGAAACCCAATGACATTGAGGTCCGCACTTCTCTATTTCATATTTTTGTATTTTGCAAAAATAAAAAATTAATTGAAGATTTGAAAGTAGAGGTTTGGCCAGACTTAATTGATTTTTTAATGTAATAAGTCAGAAATAGACAAAGATTCATCAAATTGCATCACATCTAACTTCCAAGTGGAATGCCAATATTGACTGATTTTAATGATGTCAATATGATACCACTGAGATGGGGTTGGTGGGAGACTAGGAAAGGAGATAAGAGGATATTTTTGTATTATTAAATAAATTATTAATATTTGTTGATTTGAATGGTAATGAGTTTGATTTTTTTAAAATAAAATTTTGATTTTAAGTTTTATGAATGAAAAATAAAAATTGAAAGATTTTATTTTTTTATGAGATTCGATTATGCTTGATTTTAATTAATTAAGATTTAAAGTGATTATCAGCTATCGAAAATTTTAAACTAAAAAAAAATTAATTAATTAAATTTGCATATTAAAAAAAAAAAACTTAATATTGTACTTAGGTTTGGCCTAATCTCAGTTATCATCCTTTATAATTCAATATGTGTAGGGCTTACAAAAATTTATGTAAAGTTTACATTTTTAAATGATAAATTATTATATATTCTTTTATAATTAATTAATTATAAAATTATAAATAAAATACTCCTATTTGTAGTTTGAAAAGCTATTTTATATATATACAAATTATCATGACAAATCAATCTTTTATATATTTAACATTGATTATAAAATATAAGTTTGTCGAAAAAAATGAAACAATTATCAATCTGATTATTAAAAAAACATTGGTTAAAGTTGAGTTTTTTAAAAGAAAAATCGAACAAGAACAAGCAAATTGGGAATGAGAAAGTATGCTTTGATTATTGATTCTTTTTGTGTGCAATGCACGTGCTTTTGTTAGGCAATCTTGGACGTTTTCGACCAGAATTTTCTGGCTTAATACGCTAGTCTGCCCAAAGGTTGGGTCGTGTGATACCACAATATATCTAACTAAAATCCAAAATAGAAAAAAAAATTTTTTTCTAATAAGTTATGGGTGTAAAATTTTATATTTAATTATTTTTTTCTAAGGATGGAAATGTGTTTCTCGTTTTTTACCTTCGTTAGACAAATGTCAAATCTCTCAAAATAGACAACATTCTCCCTCTTTATATTCTCCTTTTATTTTTTTTTAATTTTAATTTGTTTTCAACTCAAACGCTTCTTTATTTAACTCACTTAAAAAATATTACATGTTTAAATTTTATTGAGTTCATAAATTTTAAATATTTTTACATTCATAATTTGAAAACCCATTTTTTAAAAATATAATATTCTTATTTAAAGATAAAAAGTTTTTAAATTTTATCCAATATATTATTTTTTAATTGATTTAAATAAATTTATTTATATTATATCGATCGAATTTATAAAAAATTATTTTTTCACAATCATTTAATCGATTCAAAATCAAATAATAAAAAATATATATACATACATAATATATATATATATATATATAAATAGATATATATATATATATATACTTTTTTGACATTTAAACCAACCATCTACTAATAAAAGAAACAAAGTAGGAACGAGCAGCACGATTTAATTTACATCTATTTATTGAATGCTGTACTAAATTAACAAGTCAATAGTTTAAAAACAAAAAACAAAGTGAATAGAGGGGTGGTCTATTATTACCGAATATCATATCTACTTGCATTTTTAAATTTGGAAAATTGTTTATAAAAGAACCAAAAATCATAACATAAAAAGAAAATAAAAATGAAAACAAGTTTAGGAGTAATAAAGAATTAGATTCTCCTTAAATAAGATTTCAATTTTAAATTTTATAAATTAAAAAAAAAATTAAAAAATTTATTTCTTATAAGATCTGATCCAATTTGACTTCTGATTAATTGTAACTATAACTAATTTATTTATTATTATTATTTGATAAGATTTTGACATTGTGAGAATGATTTAAAAAAAAAAAAAACAAGCAATTACAGCCTTGCAGAGAAGAACCAGAATCAGAAGGAACAAGATTGAAGAAAAGAGATGTTGATGTGGAGTGCATTTTGTCAAAATATGTGACATGGAGCTAATGTACCTCATTTAAAGAAATAAGTTTAAAACTACTCTATTTAGGGAATAAAAATTTTAAAATATCCTTTTGTGGGAAAAAACTCTCCACTTACCTAAATAAAGTTAGAGAAAAAAAAAAAGAATAGCCAATATTTTTCTTCCCTAATTAACTTAAAAAATGGAAACATTGTTTTTAGTAACACAATCCTGTTACCAAACTTGTTTGTATTTTTTGTTATTGTTACTTAAAAAAAAAAAATAAAAACAAAAAATGTATAACCGATAATAAATAACGAATAACAAAAAACAAAAAATATCGAACAATATTAATTTTAAATTATTGATAATATTTAGTAAGTATTATTTTACAAAAAAATTAAAATTTTAAAAATTTATGGATGAAATTAGAGTGTTGCCACATCTGTATCTAATTATTATATTAAATTAATACAATCTTATGAGATATGTGACAAATTTTTTAACTCCCATCAATATGAAGCGTAAAAATTTCATGATGGTGTATAATATAATATATTTCATTGTACTAATTGAATTTCAAATAAAATTCATTATATATCTCAAGATAATAATTGTAAAAAAATGAATAAATTTAATTGTCAATATGACTGTACAAATAAAATTTCATTTATTATCGATTATTCCTTAAATTAATTAACATATTATTATAATTGACACTTAAAATTATAAATTAAAAAAATTTAAAAACGTAATATTTCTTCAACTAATTATGTAATTCAATAAAAAATTTAAAAATAAATTAGAAACTTAAAAAAAAAATCATCTACTAATAAAATAAAAAATGATAAAACGCAAGATTCCTTTCCCATAATTAACTCAAAAAATTAAGTGTCCTATAATCCAAAAATAATTAAAAAGTTCAAAAAATAATAATTAAGAAGTAAAAGAAAATATCTAAATACTGTAAAGTAATAAATAAAAAATAATAAAGAAATTAATATCCCCATACATTTTACAAGAATTTGGCTGGGTACCATTATTGCCGTCTGCAGAGACCAGAAACCAAATGTCTCTGCTCTTAAATACTTCCTCCGCTCTCATACTTTCTCCTTCATCAGCTTCCTCTTTCTCTTCTATAAAGCCCCATCTTTTCTTCTCTTCCTCTTTTGCCCTTACTCCCCGTCGCTTCCCCCGCTCCTCCCTCGCTTCCTTGAGGGCATCTTTGTCTTTTCGTAGCCAAGATACGGCTGCTACCACTACCATGAGTGACGCTCCCGACGCTGGCATGGACGCCGTCCAAAGACGCCTCATGTTTGAGGATGAGTGAGTTTTCTCGATTCTGCCCCTCCCCTGTTCGTTTTAATTGGGTTTTTGCCATTTTGCCCTGTATTTTTTTCTTTTGTTTCATTGCTGATCTGGGTTTACTTTGCTGCTCTGCATGGTTTCTGATATAATGAAGGGAAAAATGAAAGGAAGAAAAATTAAAGCTAAAATTACCTAATTTTGTTAGATTCTTTCTTTTCTGTTGTAAAATTCTTTTATCATTTTACAACTAATTAACAGAATTTTAAGATTGTTTAATAAATTTTTAATTGATACCTGCAAATTTTCTTTTCTTTTTTGTTTAACTGTACTTTTCCTTTCTCTTCATACATGTATTTTTTACGTAGACATGTACATACAATGCATTATATACGTTTACGTATGTGTATCTAATTTCTATGTAGGGTATGCTTTTACGTAATAAAAAGTGGTGGTTTATTTTGTTGGTCTTGACATATTTTAATTACCATGTGTGTGAAAGTTTTTCTTTTACTGCAATTAACCATGTACTATATATTCCTTTCCTGGATTGAATTGAATTGAAAGGATGCATGTAATGGTGCTATGTGAATTGTTGATAATTACGATAGATGTATGTCTGTTGATTGCTTATTGGTCTGATATGAAGCAAGGTTTAAAATCTTTCTGGACTTGCAATTCTTTTATCAATCTCTTATGCTTCAGTATTTTTATAGGGTTAAATAAAAAAATACTATACATTTCTGTCAGTTTGGTATCTAAAGAAATAAAACTCTCACTCTGGTATCTAAACTTTCATTCCTTCAAGCACTTGGGTACTTCAATCTATCATTGTTAGTTAACTTACTTATGTGGCATTAATACCCAATAAAACAGTGACATGTGGCACAAATGTCCAGTCATTGTCACATCATCTATTTTGCATGTCAGCATTTAAAAAAATTCAAAAATTATTTAAAAAAATATATTTTAATCCAAAATTTAACAAAGGAAAAAAAAAAAAAAATGAGAAATGGAAAAATTGGAGAGAGAAAATATATTTTGCTAGCGTAGCAATAGTTGACATGGCAATGACTAAACATTTATGACATATGTGGCATGATTTTTTTGGGTATTCATGCCACATTAGCCACTTAACTGACAGAACATTGTGAAGCACCAAAGTGCTTGACGGAATAAAAGTTGCCGTACCAAAGAGAGAATTTTATTTCTTTTGGTGCTAAACTGACAAAAGATTTATAGTATAGGAGGCATTTCACATATTAACCCATTTTTATATCAATCTCATGTTGTATCTAATTTACTGGCCTCTGCATCAATCTTTTGTAGATGTATTTTAGTGGACGAGAGTGATAATGTGGTTGGCCATGAATCCAAGTACAACTGTAAGTAAAATGTCTATGATGCCGTTTCCGTTGGGTATAATACTGTTGCTTTCATTATTTTGACTGCATATGACTTAATTTGATGATGGGAAGAAATTCTTTCTATTGTAATGCCCAAATAGCTAGTATACCTTCCGTTCGTGGTAGTTATTAACTTATTATGACATTTTCTTCATCTGGCTATTACTTATATGTGTGTCCTCTGAATTTCTTTTCTTGTTTGGCATGTTATAGCGTTTGCACCACTGAGCTCTAGTTTTTGTGGTGGGCATCACTATGACAAGTGCTTTCATCTCAAGCTACCCAAGATTGGGTAGGTTGTGATCTGTTGTAAAACGGTGTTCATGGCTTCATGCATGTGTTATTTTATGTATTTATAAGATTAGGGTCTCTACAGTTTATACACATTCATTTCAGTGTGTTGATGCTTTGCAAAAGTTAATATTAGGCATCTTAAGTTCTTCAATATGTCGTTAGGCCTAACATTAATTGGGGCCCTTATGCCTTTTAAAAGTTACTTTCCTCACTGTTGGAACTGGTACAGTTTCTTTATGACTTTCATGGCAATTGTTTAGAAAAGATCTCTCCTTTCTATAACTGGAGATTATGTAGGATTAGAAGGATATTTTGAAGTTGCATGGTTTTATTTGTTCCTAATTTCACTTTTCTCCTACAAGCAAAGTTTTGTAGACGAACATTCAGTTGGACATAACTGCACCAATGTAGCCCTACTTTGATGCTTTGTGTCTCTTATCCTCTATAGTGTTGTTGAGATTGACATATAATTGCTCCATGGCTCCATTCATTGAGTGTTAATATTTTAAGATGGTATATTTGCTTGATTGGCAGAAATCATATTATTGTTGTGCTGATGTTGAAAAAAAAAAAAGGATGATCTGGTATTAATTTTGTAGGTGACTTTAATATAGAATGGGCCCAGTAATGATCTTTTCAATTTGTATAGGATGAGGTAGCTCTCGTTTAAAGAACTTTCTTAGTACAGCAAAGCCTTAAACTTAGTATATTGCAAAATCCTGGTTATACAATTCACTGAGCCTGATGAAGGAGAAATTGTTTGATGCCTTTCAATTTTTTTTTATCATTTAAAAATATTTTAAAAGCAATCATTAACAAGAGTTTTTTTGTATAAATTCAGCGAGCTTTCTTCATTAGGCTATAAAAAGAATAATTTCATGTGCATGTGGGTCCTCTATTCTGTTTAACATTTAAGAAGTGAAGATCAAAGAAAATCTTGAATCTCTGAGCTGATTTTGGATCTTATAGTTTGTGTTTCTGAATTATGGGAATTAAAGGCTATTAGCTTTAGCTATCAGTTATCCACATGCTGCTCTTTATGAGAATACATATGACATCTGAATGTCTTTAGTCTGTTAACTTCATTTCTGCGCTTTTAACGTTGGCTTGAAAATTTACAGGTCATTTGTGGGAAAAGATTCTAACTGGAAATATGCTGCATAGAGCATTCAGTGTATTTTTGTTTAACACAAAATATGAGTTGCTCCTTCAGGTAACATGATAAAATTATTGGTAGTTGAGATATTTAAAATTGTTATTAATTTCAAGCTTTGGCATTATAATGACAAATGAAACAAACAAGTTGTATCATTTAACATATTTATTCACCTCATTTTCCTTATAATTTCCATGGATTTGAAATTAAGATTTTGATGTCTAAATCTCTGCCCATTTTTGTCTTTTGAAGAACCTTATGAGTCCTAAAACCAACGTAAAAAGAAAAATCGGTAAGTTTGACAGGCTAACCCATATGAAGTCAACTGCTGTAGGATCAGTTGCTTTTAATCGTATGGAATGGTTGATAAAAAAAGAAGAGTAAAAGAAAAAATAAAGTGGGAAAGTAGGATATGTCCTCGGTCTTAGGCTCTTTGGCCAAGCTAGTTAGCACCTTAATAGTTGTAAGTTTGACAGGCTAAACCCTATGAAGTCAACTGCTGTAGGATCAGTTGCTTTTAATCATATGGAATGGTTGATAAAAAAGAAGAGTAAAAGAAAAAAAAAGTGGGAAAGTAGGATATGTCCTCGGTCTTAGGCTCTTCATCCAAGCTAGCTAGCACCTTAAATTATCTAAATATATGCTTGTTGCATCATAGCATATGTGACATAGTTATGCTTTGTAAATAGGTGATGGGGAAAGTTCTTTTCACACGCCTTTTCTGTCTGGGTTTTGGGTTGAACCCAGGCCTAAGAGGTGGTTTGGAAATAGTTTTCAACAAGCAATAGACACATGTCGGTTAGAACCTCACTAGCTGTGTCATTGCCCTAAGGGCAAAGATATGTGCCACAGTTATGCTTTGTAAATAAGTGATGGGGAAAGTTTTCTTCACATGCCTTCTCTTTCTGGTTTTTGGCAGCAACGGTCTGCAACGAAGGTAACATTTCCTCTTGTATGGACAAATACCTGTTGCAGCCATCCTTTGTACCGTGAATCTGAGCTTATTACGGAGAAGTGTCTTGGTATATACCTTTTACACCTGTCTCAATTTATTACAGGATTTTCTCTCACTGGGACTGATGATTTTTTCCTATTTCCTTTTCTAATCATCTGCTTACCAGGGGTGAGGAATGCTGCGCAAAGGAAGCTTTTGGATGAGCTGGGTATTCCTGCTGAAGATGTTCCTGTTGATCAGTTCATCCCGCTGAGTCGCATGCTCTACAAGGCACCTTCTGATGGCAAGTGGGGCGAGCATGAACGTAATAATTCTACTCTGTTTGCATAAAGTTCAGCATTATGTTTGATTATTCACCTCTCTTAAGCCATTTTAATTGCAAAAAGTTTGAGATCTCCCTTTATGGGAAAGTTGTTATAATTTACAAATTGTACATTTCAATGGCTGGTGTTATAAGTGTCTCATATCTATTTCTTGGCCTGCTTTGTTGGATACTGCATATACCCTATCACTTACTGCTACCATTGCCCCCTAAATTGTTGCCTTATGTATTTATTATGTTGCAGTTGATTACCTCCTATTCATTGTCCGAGATGTTAACAGTCATCCAAATCCTGATGAGGTAGCGGATGCTAAATATGTGAACCGTGATCAACTGAAAGAGTTATTGCGAAAAACTGATGCCGGTGAGGAAGGTTTGAAACTGTCACCTTGGTTCAGACTTGTTGTGGACAATTTCTTGTTCAAGTGGTGGGATCATGTTGAGAAAGGGACCCTTGAGGAGGCAAGTGACATGGAAACCATTCACAAGTTGACTTAAAGAAAAAACAATAGACTGCCGGAAAGTTTATTCCAATAAATGCAGGTCTGAAATAGTTCTAAAAATGCTGGTTTCTTTTTGTTGTTAAATCCTGTTATTACCCACATGAAAATATTACATGTTAAAATTTGAGTTAAATCTTGCAACTGGCTTGGCTTGAAGTCTGGGGAGTGGAGTACTGTGATTGCAAGAAAGAAAATATTTGAAGCGTGTTATAATATTTGAACTAGTTGTAATTGCCTAATTAATAGGTATTACAATTCATTTTACATTGCTTTCATGTTGGCCAGATTCCATGCAATTATTAGATCACACCTTTTCTTTGAAATACTAGCTTTTACAATGAAGTTGTCATTGCAGCTGAAATACTATGCAAGCATTTAGCGTTACTGCAACATTCCATATATGCAATTTGCCAACCTACATTTCCTAGAATGCTTTGATAAGTGTTCTTTTTAAAAAAAAAAAACGATTCATTGATTGTTTTAATCCTACATCATCAAATCTAATTCATTTTAAATTTCAAATTAATAATTCTTAAAAGATTACCTTTTTTATTAAAAAATTAGTAAATTGTAAAAAATCCTTTTTGAAAGAATTCTAATTTTCTTCGTTTATTTTTCTTATTCGAGATATAAAAAAAAAAAATCTTTTTAGGACGGTTCCACGGCGGGACAGCTACCTGAGATCTTATGCCCCTTAAAATATATTATAAAGGTGGTAAAAATTTTAGTTACTTTATATTTTACTCCTGAAAATTAAAAATAATATCTATGACATAACAGCAAATATTAAAAAGAAAAAAATTGTAATTGCAATAAAGGTCTCATGTGTCTCCTATTGGAAGGCGCTCCCACGGGGATCACGAAGAACCTTAAGTCATCAGAACCAAATTTGTCTCCTATTGGAACAATAATCGATGAAGCCAAAGTTATGACGTCTTCTCTTCATGCCTGCTCTTTATCACACGCATTGCGATCTGCCAATATGGTTGCCCATAAATTAGCAAAATATGGACTACAAGCTGTTGAAGATGAGTTCTGGGTTGAGGAGTACCCTCTTATAGTCTTGTAACATTTACACGATGATTGTAGATTAATCAATGAGATCCTTCTTTTATTATTCCAAAAAAAGAAAAAGTTTTATGTGTAAATACAAATAAAGTAAACTTTTATGATTAATTTTTTTATGGAAGGACCATTGTAAATTTAAAAAACAATAAATGTGAAAGCTAAAAAGTTGTCTCGGTCAAAGAAAAAAAAAAGGGTTCAAGAAGTGCTCTTATTTTATCACACCTACATTTTCTCAATCTAGTAACAATTCCCAATAGAAAGAAAGGAACTAAAGAAGTAAGGAGAAAAAAAGCCATTAAGCTAGAGATTTTTTTTGTTCTATCAACAAGTTATTGAAGTATGTAATTATTTTTTAATTATTTTTGTAATTTGTTAATGTGATAAAATATTTATTTATTATTTGAATTGTTTTATATTGATGAAGTAATTTGATTTAAAATTAATTTATGATTTATTTATATTTATATTAAAAATAGATTAAGAATAAAGAATGTTGCACATTTCTTGAAGTTGAATGAATAATTTAATTTTTTGAAGTTACTTATTTGTCGTATACAAAAATATTTTATTTAATTAAAATTTAAAATACATAAATAAAATATGCATGATGGTCTTTGTTTGCGAAATTGTATTTGAAAATTTTTTTTATTTCTTATAAACTAATTAAATAAATTAAATTATTTAATTTAATTAGTTATGAAGAAATATTTCATTAAGTGGAAGCTTATTTTTTAAAAAATTATCTGGAATCAATACTAGTGGCACATAATATTGTATAAAATAAGTTCATGTTGAATTAACTTAAATGATTTTTTTTCAAATTTTGGCTACGAAAAAAATTTAGACTATAATGCTAATGATAGAGACAAAGTTTGAAGAGCATGTTTTCAAAAAGATCTATGTCAATCTTATAAACACAATTTCCTAAAAAATTGAAAAGGCATTACATCATTTTATTCTTACATAGTTTAAAAATTATATTAATTGATTGGAATATGGTGTAGAGAAGGAAGCCGCATTTTACTTGTGTTGTTATCTTTATAAATTGAATATTGGAGTGCAAACAAGTGATCATTGTTTTGTTTCGGATGGATTCACAAATTGAAAAAAGAAAGAAAGATTTTATATTCATGTTGGAATAAAAGTTGGAATTATTGTCAAGATTTGTTAAATTAAAAGCAACATATCCAATTTGCTTTTGCATAGCAATCTGATAAAGCATAAAAAGATTATTGATTTCACTTAACTGTGGTACTTGATTCCATTTGCTTTCTTTTATGTTAAAGTTTGACATTTCATGATAGAAATGTAACTAAGAAATTCCCACAATCAAAAATTTTTTTTTGAGCCTTTTAGATTTCTTGCCAACTACAATGAAACTATCAATAGTGGTCTACGATATGCACTAGGAAAATCAAAAGTGATAGTGTATGATATTAAAAAGATCTTGTTCATGCTACTGCAATTAAAACTATCAATAGTATCATGAAATATCTTGGAAATGAATTATTTTTCATTGTATTTGATAAATCTTGTAATGTTTCAATCAAAGAACAAGCTATTATTATTTTGCATTATGTAGATTTCAAAGGGCATATTTTTGAATGTCTTCTTGGTATAGTATTATTAGTAATACAAACAATCTCTTTGTCACGTAAAGCGGTTATTGAGGCCTTATTCTTTAAGTATAATTTGAGTATGTCAAAGATTCTAGTGCAAGGTTATGATGGAGTTAGCAACAAATAAGGTGAACTCAATTGTTTAAATTATTTGATCAAGAAAGTGAATGCATCCACTTATTATGTTCATTGTTTTGCTTATTAATTTCAATTGACAAATGTAATCGCAGCAAAGAATCATGTTTAAATTGTATTACTCTTCAATATTGTGATAAATATAGTGAATATTGTTGAAGGTTTAGGTAAATGAAAATATGTTCTTTAAGAAATAAAGTTGTTGAGACATTACAAGTTGGTAATTTTTTACGAAAGAGGTATAAGTTAAGAAACCAACATTCAACAAACTAAAAATACATGATGAAGTTCATATTATGGGTTCTTGATAAATTTGATATTTATGTTTAATTCCATTAATGACATGTTTGAAATTGTTGTAGAAGATGTGATTAGTTTGGAGCAAAAAGGTGAAGCTTGTGCTTTATTAGATTTGACTCAATCTTGACTTTGCCTTTATCTTACATTTGATGAAAAATATCTTAGGGATTACAAACGAGTTGTCATTGACATTACAAATGTTAAATCAAGATATTGTTAATGCAATGACTTTAATTAGAGTAGCTAAGAAACATTTGTTGTAGTTGATGAGAGATAATGGATGGGGATACCCATCTCTATCAAATTAAAGCATATTGTAGACATTAAAATTGTTTGAATTTTTAGTTGAGTCTCGATTTAGAATTTATCGAGTATATCGAGTTCTCAGGTCGAGGCCCGCTTTTGATTCAACTGGATTCTGACCTAATTTCGTTCTCTAAGCCTAAAGCCTATTTTTTCTTTTTATTTATTTATTTATAAATTTTTTTATACATTAATATTAATTAAACAAAAAATATAAAAAAATACAAAAAAAAAGCTAAAAAAGAAAAAAAACAAAAGGGCTGGTGGTAGTAGGTGCTGTGCATGGCACCACTGCCACCCCCTGTTCATCCCTATTAGCCCTCTATTAACCCTGCAAACCCTGTAGCACCCAGACCAAACCTTCTATGCCCATGTTCACTAAAGGCCTATAAAAGTAGCAGTACCACTCACGCATCACCACAGATGGATCCGCGCTTGAGACCAAGCCCCATACACCTAGCCCTTTAGCACCCATCTTCCCTCCTTCCATGATCCCCAATCTTAGTCCCAACATTCAATACCACACCTCCTTAACCTAGCATGCGCAAGAGACCACGTGACCAAGCCCCATAGACGCGCGTCCGAAACAACCACGCATCCACAACCCCAGAAACCCCAGTGAAAACCCAACTACCCATCAAACCGCAAGCACAAAAAAAAAAGAAAAAATCATAAATAGAAACATAGCCCTCACCGAATCAGCAAGGAACCCAGCACTAAAGAGCTGCTTGCAAAAAAAAAAAAAGCAAAAAAAAGAATCAGCTTTAGTTTATAAAAAAAAATCAAAACTTTAAACCCCGATCTATACCATCAGGGCTGTTTTCGGTGAAAAGAAGATCGAATCTGGAAATAGGGCATTGAGAAGAACTTTGAAAGCTTTTTCGGCATTTTTTGGTGTCCGCACAACTGCTAGCAACCACCTTAAGCAGTGGTCGGCATGGTGGCACGACGTCGGACTTTGGTGCTGCTTGAGAGGATTTTTGGGGATTGGGGGATTTTTTTTGGAGTAGAAGAAGAAATAAGCAAAATAATTTTTTTTTAGCTTATATAGAGAAAGATAAAGCCCAAAACAACGTTGTTTTGAACTAAGGAGGATCCGCAAGTGGACTTGAATTTGACTCGGGATCCGTGCAACCTGACCCAGCTACTCGCTTCAGCCAGCCTTCAACCAATCTAGACGAACCTCTAGTGAACCGGCTCGGATTGGTTAGTGGTCCAGTTCAGATTTTTTTTTATTTTTTTAAATTTTTTATTATTTATATATTATTATTTTTGTTATTTTGAGTTTTATTTTTAATATTTATGCATGATAAATTTTTAAATTTGTTAGAATAAATATTTTATAAAAAATGGAAACAATAAAGAAAATAATAATAAAAATAAGTAATGAAATATATAGTTAAAAGTTTTTATAATTTTGTTAATTTTAAAATAAACTTTATAATAATAATACAATAATAAAAAATATAAGAAAAAGAAATATTTATCCGACGATAAGATTCGTAAGTACTCGGGTAGTGATACCTACAAAATCTTTAGGTGAGAAGATTTTTTAAAAATACTATTAGTGTATCGGGGTATTTATAAAAAAATTTTCAATACCATAAAAATTTTTCTTTTTACTAATAAAATTAAAAATAAAGTAATAAAAAATGAGAAAAAAGAAATTTTATCCGGTAATGAGATTTTAAAAGTATTTCAAATAGAGATGCTTTAAGAAATCTTTAGATGAGATGTTTTTTTTAAATATTATAAGTGTATTAGAATATTTATAGAAAATTTTTAATATAATAAAAATTTCTCTTTTCTGTAAAAACTTAAATAATAATAATAATTCAATAAATATCAATAAAATTTTTAAAAGAAAAAAAATAAAATATGTGCATCAATGTATTATTATTTGCATTGAATATA